TTATCATTAATATTATTTTATTCACTTAGTTCTTAGGCGATTGGAAGGTTTTAGGTCGAAGCGAAGAAACTATTCCAAAAACTGTTTACAATACCATTGAAATTTTCCACCTTTATCCTGGAAAAGTTGCCTTTGTCGAGAAGGGTACTAATTGAGACAGGTAAGTTACAATAAAGTCAAGTTTATCACGAGAACTAATTTCATCTCATTCTGAAAGAGATGTAAGATCACAATGGGACATGGGTAAATCATTTTATGATCGACATGAAAATAAATACGATTCTTATTCATTCAACTTCACAACCTCGGGTAAACTATGAATATTAATTTCCATCTTTGAAGCAATTAATCAACATATTTTACATCCATTTCAGATGGTCATCCAGGACAATTTGGATGCCTTATTATGGTCGTCCCAAGTATGCTGAAGCCGTCTTAGCAAGTTGTGTTAAAATTGATGAATCAACTGTTGACGGTAAGGAAAATTATCGTTTTCAATTTTATTTATTTTTAATAGTCTAATAATTCAATCATTTTCATTGTTTGTTTCATTCTTTTCATTGGTTCATTAGTCAAAGCATGGTTCGTTTCAATGACTACAGCAACTTCAGCATCAGATGAAGTTAAAAGTCTTATTAAATCGTTGACTGGACAAGAGTACCGCACCTTCTGTTGGGGAAACTTCTGTTAATTCAATCGTACAGAATACAGAATGAAATTCAGCAATTAAACTCTTCACATATTCATTGTAAAACTACTTGAATAAGATATTAAATCATTTTGCATTATTTCTCATTCTGATGAATTGAATTTCAATTATTTCATTATTATATATGATACATATATATACATATATACACATATATATATATACACACATTATTATTATACATGCATATGATTTATTTAGATTGTTGTTTACAGTGAAAAAAACATTTTATTTAACAGTAAATGAGATCAGCCGAGTTTATTCGTTTTTCAATTCCAATCATTCTAACAATACCATCAGATTAATTAAAATCATAGATTCGTATCCAAAACCAGAACAACCAAAGTTGCTTAACTTATTAATATTTGTTATTGATAATTTTCAATTGCAAGTTTCCAATCATTTTTATTATATAATTGATAATATGATTCCATTAGATCATATAAAATTGGAATGGGTTAGGTCCAACGTTGCCAAATTAAGTCTGGAATACTCTTGAGATCATATCCGTCTCTATCCAGGAAATATACGTTATTGACATCGGTTATGCTCGAGACAAGTAAGTTTCAATTGAAAGCTTATTCATTGCGAGATCTTATTGATATCATGCTAATAATTGATTAATAAATCATCCCATTCTGAAAGAAATGTAAGAGCACTATGAGACAAGTATATCGACATGCTGATGGTTTTGGTGGTTAAACATTTGTCGAATACCATCCCTACTCAACATTACAACGATATTTTTTATTCATTACGGATGGTCATCGAGGTTTATTTTGATCATTTTGAAGCCTTATTAGCCAGTTGTGTTAAAATTGATTCATCTGTTGATGGCAAGTAAATTATTGATTACAATTTTGTTTAGTGTTTTTAGTATTTAAATCTCAATTCCTTTTTCAATAGACTATTAGTTAAACCATGGTTCGTTTCGATGCCAAAGTTGCTTGAATCATTGGCTGGACAAAAAGTCTTTCTAACTAGTTAGCTTCTGTTGATCAGTACGAAGCTTTAGTTATTCAAAATGAAATAAACAATCAAACTTTTCATCTGGTCGTTGTAACACTTTCTATGATTTTAAAGCTCGATATTATCATGTTTCACGGAATTTCATAGATAAAATCAATTCAAAACTTTATTACTTGAATTTGCTCAACAAAAACAATTTTGATCTACCCATGCAGCTTTATCAACTACCGTATCTATTAATTCAATGTGAATCTTTTGTTTGTAAGCTGAATCAAT